GAGCGTTCGGCCCCCGCGCGGGGCAATGCCCGCCGCGTGCCTGGGCTGCAGGCAGCTGATGCTGGAGCAGACGCCTGCAGGGAGGCTCTGCCGGCTGAGCCTGCCCTCGCTGCGTGCAAGCCTTCTGGCTCAGGGACCGGCCATAGGGCTAAACCTGACATGTGGCTTTGGCTTGCCCAGAAGGCATGGCAGGGGACAACGAGGAAAATTACAGGACATGGGAGATTGGCTTCTGGACAAGTGCTTGATCTGAGTCCAGAAATCACCCTTCTCCCTGTGAGCAGCTCATTTTCGTGCCGTAAACGTGCTTTGATTTGTTTTGTCCAAAATCCGCAAAGCTCACATGCTCATAACACTTTGCAGTTCCCTGACCCCTCCAGGCCTCCTTACGGGCACTAGCCCTCACTTCACACTCAGAACAAGCACCCAGGGAGTCAAAAAGCAATTCCAGTAGCCAGTCATTAAATGCAGCAACTCCAGCTCCAGCACCTGCCTGGAGTCCCTGGCAAGCTCCTCGGAGCAGGGACGTTCCTTCATTTTACATGTCTCTAGGGCCTACCAAAATTGACTTGTCGTCACAAATGGGGCCAGCAGGCGCTAAGGCTCTTAAATGTTTCTGACTGTGGGGACGTGGCTGTCAACAAGTCACAGGAAATTGCTGCTTATTGTTTCCTGTTTTAGGTTTACTTTACCAGCTTGTAGAGCTGGGGGCTGATGCATCGCTAGTGGCTCTGGAGGAGCGTATGTGGCCGCTGCTGGGGACTGCAGTGTGGAGAGGCTGGTGGTCATGGTGCCAGCTGCCCTCCGCAGAGGGCTTGCTGCAGGGGTGAAGGTGTTAGGACCCTGTGAAGGACAGTGCTGGGTAGTCAGATTTTCTCCAGAACTTGTGGTGCTAGGTAGAAGTATGAAGACTGCAAGGTGAGACAGCTCTGGAAGACTCATCTGTCAGCTGAAGAGGACTGCAGACCTCGTGCAACTTGAATGCGTTCCTATGATGTTGATCTTGAACATGCTTTAAGCGATATGGATTGTGAGATGTGCAGCGATAACCCTGCTAGCCGGGCTCTCCAGACAGGCTAGCGTTGCCCCCCTGAGCAGAACGAGCAAGAGGAGCTGCCCAGTGCTGGGAGCTGTTAAGTGTTTTGGGGACCAACTGAACTGATGAATCCAGAGGAAATCTGGCAGCCTGCTCTGCTCTTCCCCCGGTTGCTGACTTCCCCAAAATCTCTTGCAGCCTGAGCAAGTGTAAGCAACCTCTTATCCCATTCTCCATGCCCCGGCTTTGTGAAAGATCTGATGCCTCTTTTTTATAAGCTTTAACCTTTCTTCTGTTTCCTGGTGTAGTCTTGGCTTTGCAGCATTAGTAGGTGACTGTAGATTTCTCTGTTCCAGGAGCAATAGGTTTGGCTTGCGATTGCATGAATGACATGGAGTCTCCAAAGTAATCTAATCTCAACTAGCTGTGAATTGCACTTTGCTGGCAAGACAAAGTTGCCTTGTCTTTAGGTGGTAAAATAGGTTTTTGTGCATTGTGAATATGTGAGCACTCTGCTTCCCTCAAAATAGCTCTGGTTTCCCTGGAAAGCTGTTAGCCATGTTTTTTTGAAACGTCCTGGTGCTGAGAGCTGACAGCCTGTTTTGTTGCGCTGGGCATAAGAGGCTTTTCACTCCCCATCTCGCCCATCCGCGTTCTCGTGGGTCTGACTGCTCGTCCTGACCAAGAATACCCCAGTGTAATGTTAATTCTCAAAACTAGACTAAACAAAAATAGTGAATTTTAGTTTCCCTGCCTTTTTTTTTCAGTCTTAGAGTTAAAACTTTCTTTGTTGGGCAGCTGAAACTGAAGAACATCACTCATAGAGGGGAGCTGTTAAAAAAAGGAAATTATTAAGAAATGCTGAACTGAAAAGTGCATGGGAGAGCCAGGTTTCTGCGTGTCAGCGGGCTCGGGGGGCGGTTTGGGGTAGCCCCGAGCAGAAACTCTTCGATCCAGATGTGAACCCTCTCCAGATGTGAAACACCCTCGCCCGTGTCCCGCGTGGACGGGGGCCCCAGGACGCGGCGCCGCGTGCTGTCCCCGACGCCTCCC